AACCCGGTCACTTGCTTGTTCCAACAAAACTAAATGGTTCGAATTATCCATCATGGAGTAAATCTATGATTCATGCTCTAACAGCCAAAAACAAAATTGGTTTCATTGATGGTTCTATTGAGCCACCCTCTGAAACGGAGAACCCAACAGAATATGCCCTTTGGAACCAATGCAACAGCATGATTTTGTCATGGCTCACTCACTCCGTGGAACCTAATCTAGCCCAGGGGGTTATCCACGCCAAAACAGCACGTCAAGTGTGGCAGGACTTTCAAGAACAATTTTCACAGAAGAATAGACCAGCAATTTATCAGATCCAAAAGGCGCTAGCCACCCTTTCACAAGGCTCGATGACCGTCTCGGCATACTTCACAAAACTGAAGAGTCTTTGGGATGAGTTGGATACATATCGTCCTATCCATGCTTGCAATCAGATGAAGGCGCACATCGAACAAAGAGAAGAGGATCGAATGATGCAGTTTCTCATGGGCCTTAATGATACCTATAACGGCGTCCGTAGCAACATTCTCATGATATCTCCGCTACCTAATGTTAGACAAGCCTACTCTCTTGTCATTCAAGATGAAATGCAACGAACGGTGACGTCAGAGACAACTGAAAACTTCTCTATTGCTGCTGCAGTTCAGAATCATCCGAACAAATCAAAAAGCAAGCATTGCGAACATTGCAATAGAGAAGGCCATACAATTGAAAATTGTCTAACACTGAAGTTTCATTGCAAACACTGTGATAAGAGAGGACATACAGAGGACAGATGCAGATATAAAAATGGCACATGGACACCAAACACCGCAGCCAATAGACAAGGACAACAACAACTGCAATATGGATTTCGAAGGAACTCTAACTCCATTGTCAATGCAATAGACTCACCTCAATCGACCCATGGAATTCATTCGCAGGAAAGTAGCAAAACAAACCAAAATCCTGATCCAACTAATGTCTTGCAAGGATTTTCTGCAGAACAACTCCAACAACTTTCCCGTGCCTTATCAATGATGAACACAAGTCATAACGCTGGTAATAAAAACACATATGCAAATGCGACAGGTCTGTCTACTTTTCCAGATGCTATGATTAATTCTGTATTCACTAAGCCTTGGATTTTAGATAGTGGGGCCACTGACCATATCACCTCTGATTCCACACTTTTCACTAAAACAAAATCATCATCAGTACCAATGGTTAATTTACCAACTGGATCCACAGCTTCAATAACTTCAACTGGCACTGTTCATTTCAATTCTGATATCACACTAGATGATGTTCTTTGTGTTCCTACTTTTCGTCTAAATCTAATTTCTGTGAGTAAAATTACCACTGCACTAAATTGTTGTGCAATCTTCTTTCCAACCTTTTGTGTTCTACAGGACTTGGCTACGGGGAAGATGATTGGCTCGAGTAAGCAACATGGTGGTCTCTATTACATGCCTCCATTACAAAGAACACCAACCTGTCATCAAACTTCACATTCATCTAGTCTATGGCATATGCGTCTTGGACATCCATCACCATCTCGCCTTAAGTTAGCTTCTTCATTGTTAGCTTCTTCATTATTACCTTTAAATGATATTTCTTATGACAATAATTGTACTGTTTGTCCCATGGCAAAACAAACAAGACTTCCATTTCCATTAAGCTCTATATCAACTCATGCTCCGTTTGATTTATTACATTGTGATATTTGGGGTCCTTACAAAGTCCCCACACACTCAGGAGCACGTTTCTTTCTTACCATAGTAGATGATTTCACAAGATGCACATGGATATTTCTCATGCAACACAAATCAGAAACTCAAAACATTTTGAAATCTTTCATCGATTTTGCTTATACTCAGTTTCATGCTTATGTCAAAGCGATCAAAGTAGACAATGGTTCTGAATTCTTATCTATGAGAAATTTTTTCCAGTTTCATGGTATTGAATATCAACGCACTTGTGTTTACACTCCACAACAAAACGGAGTTGTCGAAAGAAAGCATCGCCATATTCTCATTGTTGCTCGTGCACTCCTCTTTCAATCTCATTTACCTTTGCATTTTTAGGGGGAGTGTGTTTTAACTGCAGTTTATCTTATTAATCGGTTACCATCTCCATTACTCTCAAATAAAACACCCTTCGAAATTCTACACAATCGTCCACCCTCACTTGCTCACCTGAAGGTTTTTGGTTGTCTGTGTTATGCTACTGTTGTGCATCCAATTCATAAATTCGATTCTCGTGCCAAACGCTGCATCTTTGTTGGATACCCAACTGGGCAGAAAGGTTACAAATTATATGACATGGAAACAGGGAAATTTTTTGTTAGTCGCGATGTCAAATTTCATGAAACCACTTTTCCTTCCTCATCCACCTCACCTCCACAAAATTTAGATTTTGTAGTACCGACTCCCATTTCTGAGACTATAGAACCACAGCCTGCCTCTCCATTTCCTACTAACACTCATTCTCACCAATCCAAACAAACAGAAACAACACATGAATCCATTTCTCCCACACAAAGCACTCATGTTCCCTCTAGCAATGATCAGCCTCCCACATTCATTCCAGAAACCGAAAACACACCCCCACTTCAAGACACATCAAGCAATTCTGCTGACCCTCCTACAGCTTCCGCTCCACTTCT